GCCGCTGCGGGGCCTCTGGGGGTGGCCGCCCCAGCGTCTTGCTTGAGCACCTGCTGTCTGCAGGGCCATGCGACCTGCCTGTGCCCCCCCCAGCGGTCTCCCGCGCAGGCCTGGGCCCGCACCCCCTGCTGCTCCCGGCCCCGCCTCCCCTGGGCTGGTGTCCGCTCTCACTCTGACGCTGGACACAGGAGGATGGCCGTGGGGCGGGCCTCCCCCAGCGGCTGTGGCCGTGGCTCAGTCCAGTGGGCGGAGGCGGAGTGGGAGGGCCCCACGTCCCTGACCCCCAGAGGATAGGCCCCAGCAGCCCCGGGTTTGCCCGCAGACGTGGACGAATGCGCCTCTGGCCGGGGCGGCTGTGGGCATCACTGCACCAACCTGGAGGGCTCCTTCCAGTGCTCGTGCGAGGCTGGCTTCCGGCTGGACGAGGACCGCAGGGGCTGTGCCCGTGAGTCTCCACCTCTCACCTCGGGGACCCCGCCTTCTGGGCACTTGCTCCTGGTGCAGGGGTGAGGATGGACCCACCTCAGCGCCCCGTCCCGCTGCGGGCCGGCCCAGGGCAGCGGGGGGGGGGAGGGGCTGGTCTGTAGGGGCATCCTCCAGTCCAGGGTCCTGCCCGGGGGTCCTGGGTGGTCCAGCTCCTGCCCTGCCCGGGTGACACAAGGGACAGAGGACAGCGTCCAAGGGGAAGAGAGCTGCCCCCTCCCCATGCTTGGTCAGGAGTGCAGCTGGGATGATGCCCCCTTGGCCACCACGCTGAGGAGGGGTGCAGCAGGGGCTGCTGGTGGGAGCCCACAGGGTGGGGCTCAGGCTCTGAGCCGCCACTGGGCACTGGGCACCAAGGGGCAGGAGGGTCCAGTACCAAGGGGGACAGGTGGGTGGCAGGGGCTAAGGGGCCTTTGTGCCCCCACCCAGCCCTGGAGATCCCCGAGGTGGACCTGGATGGCCAGCTGCCCTTTGTGCAGCCCCTCCCACATGTCGCAGTGCTCCAGGATGAACGGCCTCACCTCTTCCAAGACGACTATATTGGGGTCCAGGAGGAGGAGGCGGCGGCGGAGGCCCGGGGGGAGCACACGCTGATGGAGAAGTTTGGTGAGAGGCGGGCCCAGCCATGGGGCTTCTGCTCCCGGGGACCACGGCCAGTGCCCCCTCGGCCCGGCCGCTGCCCTGCTGTGGTCTTGAGCTTGAGGAAGAGCCTGGTAGTAGTCGTGTTTGACCAAGGCTCAGAGGAGGTGCTGGGTTTGCACAGCACACGTGGGGCTGAGCCTGGCTGGACCAGGTAGGCCCTGACGTCCACCCCCCACTGCCCCTGTCTGCCCCCAGTCTGCCTGGACGCCTCCTTTGGCCAGGACTGCAGCCTCACGTGTGACGACTGTCGGAATGGGGGGACCTGCCTCCCGAGCCTGGATGGCTGTGACTGCCCCGAGGGCTGGACCGGCCTCATCTGCGATGAGGGTGAGGCCGCGGGGCTGGGTGGTGTGAGCCCTGGGATCTGCAGGCAGCCACCCTGGGCGGGGGCCCTCAGGACTGGCAGCGCCTGGCGTCTGCCCCTCGCGATGGTCCAGGGCAAGCAGGCCAGCAGCTAAGGCAGGGAAGGGGGTCTGACGAAGAGTAGCTGGTGGGCAGGCCGGTCATGTCCCCATCCTGGGTGAGAGCAGCCATGACCCAGGCCACTCAGCAGGCAGGTCGGTAGCTGGAGTGCCTTTGAGACCTGCTCTCCCAGCCCTGTCCAGTGACCCTGGGCCAGGCCCACGGTGCTGGTCGGTCTCCGGGGCTCTGCCTGCTGAAAGCCCTGCAGAGAAGGTGGATGTGCCGGAGTCCAGAGGGAGAGGATGCGGTGACTGATTAGTGAGGTCTGCCATGTGTTGGGGCCAGGCCAGGGGCTCGGGTGCGGCTGTCTGTTGCTCTGGGCGTCGCTTCTGAACGGGGCGGCTCACACTGCGGGACGGTGTCTCAGGGTCCCTAGAGGGGCTGCTGGGCCCAGAGTCCTTCTGCAGGCCGGTGACCCTCGTGCTTCACCGTCCCCGCCTGCAGCTTGCCCTCCGGACACCTTTGGGAAGAACTGCAGCTTCTCCTGCGCCTGTCGGAACGGCGGGACCTGCAACCCCATGACGGGTGCCTGCCGCTGCCCCCCGGGCGTCGGTGGAGCCCTCTGTGAGGACGGTGGGTGCAGCCCCTCCCGGGACTCTGGAGTGTCCCTGGGGTGGAGGGGATGGGACGCAACCTCTCAGCTGGCCTGCCTGCCTTCTCCTTGCCGCCTGCCTTCCGCGGAGCCGGGAGAGGGAAGGCAACAGCGTGCTTCACTGTTTGCTTGTCCTGGGGCCCGACTGTAGCGCAGGGTGAAGACTTGGCAGACTAGCACTTCTGCAGTGGGTTCCCCGTGAGGTAGTGAGCTCCCCGTCCCTGGAAGCATTCCAGTAGAGCTCTTTGGTGGCGGGTGGGATTTGCCTGGGCCCATGGCTGCATGGGACAACACTACTGTCCTTTCGAACTGTGAAGTGTCTACGTTTTTGAAGGAATTCGAGCGTCCCCGTAAATAAGTTTCCCAGGTGACTGACGCTTTACCTTGAAAACTGCAGACCTTCAAAATTCTGCCTCTTGTGTTGGACAGTGTAGCTAATGTGCCGAGAACATCCTGCCTTATCCAGGGGGCAGTTTCAGTCCCTGGACCCCGTGCCCGGGGCTTCGGGGCGGTGGTACCACGGGGCTGTCCTCCTCCTCCCTCTGGTCACACCTCACATGTCCGGCTTTCTTCTCCTTTCTCTTTTAAGGACGCTCGTGGATTAGGATAACCCAGGAGGGTCTTGCCTCCAGATCCTGGGGATTAGATGGGGACGTATTCCGGGGTGACTCTTTAGCTCCCTGCAGCCCTTCAGGACACAGGACTGGGGCAGGAGCGAGCCCGGGGGAGGCACTTTGGGAAGGAAATCCAGATGCCCTTTCCTAGCTGCGGGCCCCCTGAGCCTGGTCTCGGGCTGCTGGCCGGCTGGGGCCGTGTGCCCTGCCTTCTCTGAGGGCCAGAGGTTGGGCTGGGTGACCACCAAGGGGTGGAAGTCAGGATGTGGTAGATGAGGGTCAGACGCAGGACATCGGGATGAGGTCTTTGTGCATGTCCCACGCGTACACTGGAGAATGTGCTTGGCTTTGCGCCCCGGGCGGTTCTCCAGACCACAGACGCTGAGGAGACAGGCCAGCCGGGGCAGAAGGCCATATCCGTGGCTCATCCTGTGTCTGCCCTGTCCTCGTGGTGCCCTTGTCTGCCCCTGGGCCCCTCCCTGTCTGGGATGCAGAGTCCTCAGGCTGCTGGGAGCCCTAAGGTCCTCCGGCCCTGCCCCGGGGGCCTGGGCCGCTCCCGGCTCCTGTGCCAGGCACGGGGGGGTCCTTGGAGCATCTGCACGGGCATGGGGGCGTGTCCGGGTGGGCGCTCAAGAGGCCCTGCCTCCCGCAGGCTGCCCCAAGGGCTTCTACGGCAAACATTGCCACAAGAAGTGTCACTGTGCCAACCGTGGCCGGTGCCACCGCCTATACGGGGCCTGCCTCTGTGACCCGGGGCTCTACGGTCGCTTCTGCCACCTGGGTGAGTCCCCTGCCCGCGGCCGGTGGCCAGGGGGGCGGGGGCCATGCTGCCCACACTCCAGCTCGGGGGTGACTGTTCATCTGCAGAGGGGTCGCAGGGCTCAGCGAGGTCCCCCGGCTGGGATGTGGGCTCCAGGGACCCAGAGCCGTGTCCTCCGGCCTGTGCTGGCCTTCAGGGTGTCTGGGGGGGTGGTCCCCAGCCTTCTGTTGCCTCCTGGCCCCACAATTGGGCTAACGGGTCGGCGGCAGCATGGGTGGGGGCAGGCCTCCCTTGGAAGCTGCCGGGGCACAGGGCTCACCTTGGCTTTTGGAGTTTCCTGGCAGCAGGGGTGAGTCCTGAACCCCCAGAGGAGTCACCCCTCCCTGGTGGGCTGGTGGGCAAACGTGGGTGACGATGAGCAGACTTGATCTGGGAGCTCCGTACTGTACTTTGTAGAAGGATTATTTAAAGGAGGGAGATCGGGATTCTGAGAGCCGCCTGGCTGGGAAGTGGCGTGACCCGGGGCAAGTGCCTGGACCCCGCTGAGACCCTGTTTCTCGTCTATGAAACAGGCACGGTGGTCCCGGGGGCTGGGGGCGGTGCCTCTCTGCGCGGCTAAGGGGGCTGGAGACCCTGGGACCCTGCAGGTAGGCAGGCCCGCCTGTTGGTTCTGTGGGTGCAGCGTGTCCGCCGTGGGCCTTTGGGCCCGGCTGCTCCGAGGAGTGCCTGTGTGAGCGACAGAACACGCTGACCTGTGACCGGAGGGATGGTAGCTGTTCCTGCAAGGCCGGCTTCAGGGGCGAGCGGTGTCAGGACGGTGAGTGCAGGGCCGCGGGGGGCGGGGCGGGCCGCAAGCTGGCTGAGCCTGCAGGCCCCTCTCCCCTCGTCCCCTGCAGAATGTGTGCCGGGCTTCTTTGGGCCCGGATGCCGACAGGCGTGCACCTGCCCTCAGGGCGTGGCCTGTGACCCCGTCAGCGGCCAGTGTGGGGGGCCGTGTCCTGCCGGCTACCAGGGGAAGGACTGTGATCAAGGTCAGTGGCTGGCCCCAGCGATGCCCAGGGTCGGGTGGGGTGTGGGTCCTCTGGCCCCACCCTGGTCGCCCAGTGGCGACTCCTCACTGGTCTGCCTGTCCCCGTGCCCCCGGTCAGGGCTGCTGGGACGAGAGTGGGTCTGTGTGCCCGGGGCCGGGCCCAGGGAAGGGGTTGCATCCTCTAACGTTGTTCCCTCCCTACCCCGCCCCCCCACCTGTTAGCTAGAGCATGCTCAGTGCTGGGATCCGGGGGGCTGGCACTCTGTCCTGGTGGGTCTGAGTCTCTGGGACCTTGGCAGCTACTGGAAGCGCCGTCTTGGGCTGGAGGTGCAGCGTGGTGCGCGGCGCATGACGAAGGCCGTCCGCACGGCTGCCCTGGCCTGGGGCTGGAGGGAATGGGTGCAGAGTGGTGGGCCCGCTGGAGGCCCGCCCCGTGTTTACACACCGCAGGCAGCCTGAGTCCTGGGGTGACCCCGGCCCCGCTCACAGGGTGCGGGCAGCTGGGGGCCTTCCGTGGCATATGGTGTGTGTGCTGTCTGCACCTGCTGGCCCCAGGTGGCTGGGGACCACCGGGCCTGTGGGGTGACTGATGTGAGCATGCCTGGGGGCCGGCTGGCTCGACCTCCCCCTATCCTGTCCCCTCTGGGGAACAAGGAAGGGGCCCTGGGGACCCAGCTGCGCTGAGGGGTCAGCGTCTCCCTCTGCAGCCAGGCTACGTCCCTCCAGAGCGGTGGTCCTGGAGACTGCAATGCTGACCTTGTGCAGGGCTCTCGGGTCCCAGGGGTCCAGGAGGGATATGTGGGGGATCCTGGGATCCCAGCCTGGACCCCCCAGCTCGACGTGCACCCCAAGGGGCTTTGTGGTGTCTGGTGCCCTTTAGCTGCTGCTCTCCTGTCCCTATGAGCTCTGGCGAGTCACAGGCTCCCCACCCAGACCCCTGACTCTTCTCTCGGCCTCTCCCAGACCCCCACGGACACTCAGCGGAGCGCTGGGGCACATGAGCACACATGTGCACCCGCTCCCTGGGCCCGCGGCAGCCGGGCGCTCTCTCCGGAGAAGTGTCCATCCTGCCCGCCGCCCTCTGCAGCGGCCCGTTAGCCTAATGTCCTCCGTGCAATTTCTTATCTTCCACATATGAGTGAAACCATATGATAATTGACTTTCTCTGCTTGACTTATTTCACTTAGCATAATCTTTTGCAGTCCCATCCATGTTGATGTAAAAGTTGGGTATTCATCCTTTCTGATGGCTAAGTAATATTCCGTTGTATATGCGGACCACATCTTTATCCGTTTATCTGTCGATGGACATTTGGGCTCTTTCCATAGTTCGGCTATTGCGGACATTGCTGCTATGAACATTGGGGTGCATATGGCCCTTCTTTTCACTACATCTGTGTCTTTGGGGTAAATACCCAGGAGCGCAATTGCTGGATCGTGTGGAAGCTCTATTTTCAACTTTTTGAGGAACCTCCATACAGTTTTCCAGAGTGGCTGCACCAGCTTGCATTCCCACCGACAGTGTAGGAGGGTTCCCCTTTCTCCGCATCCTCGCCAACATCTGTCGTTTCCTGCCTTGTTAATTTTAGCCATTCTGACTGGTGTGAGGTGTATCTCATTGTGGTTTTGATTTGAATTTCCCGGGTGGCTAATGATGATCGTTTTTCCATGTGTCTGTTGGCCATGAGCTTTCCTTGCAGCCCAAGGGGAGGAACTGCAGGGCTGCCCAGGGTCACCGCCGCCGGCCCGCCCTGCCGTGGCAGGTGCAGCGTGGGGGAGGCTATGCTCGGGCTGGTCAGGGGCTTCCAGCACCCGGGGCTCTGCCTGTCCCCGCAGGGAGGCGCGAGGCTCCCGGCCCCCACATGTTTCGCTGCAGCTCTGCAGTGGGCACAGAGCAGCTGGGCCAGTCCTTCTCTGGAGGCTTGCTCTCCTTGTCTCCGCTCCTCTCCGGGGTCTCGCTGCCCCTCTGCTGGGCAGAGGGGGAGGGGGTCCCAGGACTCCGGGTCCTCCACACTCTCTTAATGTGCCTGGCTCCCGTGGCAGCCCCCGTCCTGCTGGGAGAGGGCCACAGCTGGGGGTAAAGTGGTGTATGCAGGCCCCTACCTCACCCCCCTCACGCGCTTTGGGGATCTGAGACCGAGGGGGCCAGACTTGTCTTGGGCTTCCTGGCTGGGTGGGAGGGGGTAGGAAGGAGGGCAGAGCTGCTGCCAGCTTGCTGCAGGGTGCCCAGAGTCTGTCCTGCACCCCTCCCCCCGAGCAGGTCCGCCCCGCCCATGTGCCCTGTGCTCTGCGTGCTCTGTGGTCACTGGGGGCCCTGGCTGAGCCCAGCAGCCCTGCTGGGGCAGGGGGCAGCCCCACAAGGAGGCCCTTGCGGTTCCTCCCTGCAGAGTTCCCCGGGGGGGATATTTGGCTCCCGTGGGGGGCACCCTGCAACCGGGTCATGGGGCAAGGACTGTGCCCTCCAGGGAGGACTGGGGACGGCTGGGGGCAGGTGAGCGGCTGTGGTGTCCTGCGACACTCTCCCTTCCCCGTGCTACACGACTCTGGGTGGTCACAGCCCTGGACCGAGTTTGGGGGTCCTGCAGCCTGCAGAGCCCAGGCCCGTGCTTAGCAGCTGAGGGCCCATGCCGAGCCGCCCTTGGGTCTGAGCTGGGGGGTCTGCGCTGACCTGGGTGCCCCCGGGTCCGGTCAGCTGCGGTGCCAGCTTGGCCAGCAGAGCCCCGGGCACTCCTGGGGGCTGTGCTTTGCCCTCCAGGCTGCCTGCCCACCGCCCGTCCTGGGGCAGGGGCCCCTCTTCTGGGGATGGTGCTCTGCAGCCTGCGGCCCACAGGGGAGTTGGGGGTTCCCATGAGCCGTTCCTCCCCCTCCCTGGGCCGTGGTGCAGGGCCAGTGCCATGTCAGACAGGGCCAGGAAGGCCCCAGGCCAGACTGACTGCCTGTGGGGGGGCTAGATTGTCCCGAGGGCCGCTGGGGGCTCGGCTGCCAGGAGATCTGCCCGGCGTGTGAGCATGGTGCTACGTGTGAGCCTGGGACCGGAGCCTGCCTGTGTCCCCCCGGTTACGTGGGCAGCCGCTGCCAGGACTGTGAGTACGGGGCCCCCTGACCTGCGGGACGTCAGCCCCTGGCCTGAGCCCGGCCGCCCTGCTGGCTGACCCTCCCCTGCCCTGCAGCGTGCCCCGCAGGCTGGTTTGGGCCCAGCTGCCAGACGAGGTGCTCCTGTGCCAACGATAGGAACTGCCACCCGGAGACCGGACATTGCAGCTGTGCCCCTGGATGGACCGGCCTCGGCTGCCAGAGCGGTGGGTGGCCCGGGCTCGGGGGGGCTGGGAGCAGCAGGAGGCCCGGTGCCTGGCCTGGCCGCGGGGCCGTGCTCTGCTGGGCTGACTCGGGCTGTGTTGCAGCCTGTGACGACGGGCGCTGGGGACCCGACTGCAGCCACCCCTGCACCTGCAGCCCAGGCCACGGGAGCTGCGACGCGGTCAGCGGCCTGTGTGTGTGTGAGGCCGGCTACACGGGCCCGCGGTGCGAGCAGCGTGAGTCCCGGGCCGCCCACAGCCACGCACCCACGCACGTGCACGCACGCCCACGCGACCACACACCAGGGGCTCTGGTCCTGCCCTTCTGTCCGTGGGACGGGCGGAGGGTCTCCTCCCCTGAGCTCCCCCAGGTCCCCCTGTCCCGCCGGGCCCAGGCACCCCCAGCCTACCTGGGTCTTTGAGGTGCACCTGGAGCAGCGGGCCGGGAGGGCAGGGAGGGGCCACCTGGCACCTGGAGGAGGGCAGGACCAAGGGCCATGGCCTTCCGAGTGTGTCCCCCACTGCCCTAGGCTGGGGCAGCTCCAGAGGTCATGCCTGGGCGCCTACCCCTCTGGGCGCCGGCTCAGTCCTTAGTTGGGCAGGCAGGGGCGCGTGCCCACGGTCCCCTCCCCGGCTGGGCCAGCAGAGGTGTAGGCGAGTCTGGGTTGGTCTCCCCCGCTCCAGCTGACCGTGGGCCGGGGCTGCGTGTCTCAGGGTGTCCCCAGGGCCGCTTTGGGCCGGGCTGTGGGCGGCAGTGTCAGTGTGAGCACGGGGCGGCCTGTGACCACGTCAGCGGGGCGTGCACCTGCCCGGCCGGCTGGAGGGGAGCCTTCTGTGAACGCGGTGAGCTGGGGCGTGTGTGTGGGCTGGCGGGCGGACCCTGCCACCCCGGCCGTGTCCCATCACCACCCGCTCTCTGCAGCCTGCCCGGCGGGCTTCTTCGGCCTGGATTGCCGCGGTGTCTGTGACTGAGCCCCTGGGGCCCCCTGTGACTCTGTGGGCGGCTCCTGCCTCTGCCCTGCTGGCCGCCGGGGCCCCCGCTGTGCGCAGGGTGCGTGAGGCCAGGCGGGCCTGGGGGCTCCAGGAGAGGGGCCGCCGGCGTGTCAGGCCCTCTGTGTGGCCACCCTAGGGGTGCTCAGGCCCGAGGGGAGGGAAGCTTGCCCAGCTGCCGCAGATCTGCTGCAGCGCCCCCAGACCCCTGACGGTCCCCCCCCCCCCACAGCCTGCCCCGCCCCCACCTACGGACACAACTGCAGCCAGACCTGCTCCTGCTTCAACGGGGCCTCCTGTGACCCCGTCCACGGACAGTGCCGCTGCAGCCCTGGCTGGATGGGCCCCACCTGCCTGGAGCGTAAGCACCCCCCAGGAGTCTGGGACCAGGGCTTGTGGCAGCCCCTCCCTGTTCCACGCGGGGTCACGTGGGTGCGGGCTGCTGGTGGACAGGAGTCTCAGCAGGAGCAGCGGGCGGGGGGCTGGGGCCTGGCACCGGGGGGGACGGGTCGGCAGGGAGGTGCCGAGCTCCGCAGGGCTGGGTTGGTGGGCCCGGGGTGGCCCGGGGCGGCTTGTCGTAGAGGCAGCCCTGGGAGAGGTCCTCCCCATGACGTCTGCTGTTGGGTTTTGGGGGGCCGGGGAGGTGCAGAATCACTGGGGCTGACGCTCGCTGGGGGCGGCGTGGGGCCTGCTGGGCTGGGCTGCTGCGAGTTGCTCCCTTCCACCGCAGCCTGCCCCACGGGCTTGTACGGCCCCAGCTGTGAGCACGCCTGCCTCTGCCAGCATGGGGGCACCTGTGACCCCGTGTCAGGCTACTGCACGTGCCCAGAGGGCTGGGCTGGCCTGGCCTGCGAGCAGGGTGAGCCCGGGTCAGGCAGAGGAGGAGGCGGGACCCGGGAGCCAGGGCGGGTGCCCCAAAGCATGCTGGCCCACCCCGCTCTCTGTGGGCAAAGAGCTTTCTGCCGGCGGGTCTGCGGTGTGACCTCCCCCCAGGCCCCTCCCCTTCTCCAGGCTGGGGCCCCAGGCTCTGGGTGCAGGAAGCACGGGTGGGGTGGGGTCTCCTGGGCCCTGGGGCATGGGGCACTGCTGGGGAACTGTGCCCCGCAGAGTGCCTCCCCGGGCGCTTCGGAGCCGGCTGCGAGCACAGTTGCGGATGTCTCAACGGCGGCCTCTGTGAGCGGCGCTCGGGCCACTGCCTCTGCCCAGCTGGCTGGACCGGGGACAAGTGTCAGAGCCGTGAGTGGGCCGGGTTGGGGGCTGGGGCGCGGGGGGAGGCCAGGAGGCCCTGCTGGTCCTGTCAAGGGGTGGCCTGAGCCTCGCTCCAGGGTGCAGGGCCCGTGAGCTGGTCCCTTGGCAGGTGGGGGCAGGGGCTGCCGTCCGAGCTCCCAGCGGTCCCCGGTGGGAGGGGCGGGGGGCGGTTGGCCCTGCTCGCACCCTGGCGCCGGACTCAGCCCTCTGCCTTGTCTCGCCCACTGCAGCCTGTGCTGAGGGTACGTTTGGGGCACACTGTGAGGAGCGCTGTGCCTGCCAGCGGGGGGCCACCTGCCACCACGTGACGGGGGCCTGCCTCTGCCCCCCGGGGTGGAGAGGCTCGCGCTGTGAGAACGGTGAGCCCCTCGGCTCCACCAGCACCCACGGGGCCCGCCGCTCGGGGGGGGCGGGTCTTGGCACAGTGATCCCTCCGGGCTGCCCTGGCCCCAGGCCTCCCCACCACCCCCGCACCGGCTTCCCGCAGCCTGCCCGCTTGGCCGGTTCGGAGAGGCCTGTGCCCAGCGCTGCCTGTGCCCGCCTGGCGCCGCCTGCCACCACGTCACCGGGGAGTGCCGCTGCCCACCAGGCTCCACGGGGCCCGGCTGTGAGCAGGGTAGGTGACCCCACCCAGGGGGGCAGAGCGGCTGGTAGCTGAGGTGCATGGACCCCCGAGCTGCACCCGAAACCTCCACCCCCAGACGGGGCCACGTGGGGGGCGTGTTCCTGAGCTGGGCCAGGACTGACCTCTCCCGCCTACACCCCAGCCTGCCCACCCGGCCCCTCTGGGGAGAGCTGTGGGCAGAAGTGCCATTGTCCCGGCGAGAACCAAGCCGCCAGGTTGTCCTCAGGAGGGACTGCTCATCCCTCAGGGGGTGGGGGTGGGATGCCAGGGGGCGAGGCCTGGCCCCTGGCCTCTGGCACCTGCCTGTGTCCCTGCAGAATGCCCCCCCGGGCGCTTTGGGCCTGGCTGTGAGCAGCAGTGTGAGTGTGTCCACGGGGACTCCTGCGACGCAGCCACCGGGGCCTGCCTCTGCCCTGCTGGGTTCCTGGGGGCCAACTGCAGCCTGCGTGAGTGGCTGGGGGGACGGAGGGGGTGGTTGCTCCCTGGGCCTCCGTGGGCAGGGCCCCCCAGCCAGCCTGTGGGGAAGACAGCCCCTGACCGTCTGTCTTCCTGACTCTCCTGCTGGGCCTGGCCCCAGGCCGGGCTGAGGTGGGGGTGTCCGTGTGACCCCAGTGTCCGTGCCGGCCAGCTCTGTCCTCCCCCCCGCCCCGCACTGGCCATGCTCAGCAGGGTTTGTGCACCTCTGTGCAGACGGAGGCCAGCTAGGCATCCCGCCGAGGAGTCTCCATCGGGCTGGGAGCCTGGCTGGGCCAGCAGGAGTGGGGTGGGGGGCAGCAGTTAGTCACTGTCCCTGCAGAGCCGGCCTGGCCCCCAGCAGACCTGCGGGTGGAGGGGAGATGCCAGGGCGGGCAGGGGCACGGGAGGTCCCCGCAGGCCATCTCTGGGCTGACGTGGCAGAGAGAAGGGGAGCTGGCAGGGGTGGCCACCGTCCTCTTTCCTCCCGGCAGCCTGTCCACAGGGCCGCTTCGGCCCCAGCTGCGCCCACGTGTGCAGGTGTGGGCAGGGAGCATTCTGTGACCCTGTGACCGGCATCTGCACCTGCCCCCCCGGGAGGACTGGCGTCCACTGTGAGCACGGTGAGCGCCCGCTCTGCCTGCCCTTCCGCGTTTCACAGATGCCACTGCGTCCGGCCGGTGGGGGGCTGATGGGGAGAAGCCATGGGTGCCCCCGGGGAGAGCCAGGCCCTGGAGCCCGGTGGTGCATTCGCACCAGCCGAGCCTCCACTGACCCGTCAAGTGGCTGGTGGGGGCTGGACAGGTTCCAACCCAGAGCCTCCTCGCAGGAGGGTCCAGCGGCTATTTTGTCTGAGGACAAAGCCAGCTGCCTGGCTCAGGTCCCGTGGCGCAGGGTCCTGCTGGGCCTGGAGGCCGGGGGCCCCAGGTGGAGGCCCGGGGCACAGGGCGTGGTGGGGGAAAGGGGGTGACCCCAGGAGCAGTCATGGGGCTCCCCCTGTGATGGCAGGCCCAGTCCCCATGGCCACAGCTACGGCCCCTTGGCCTGGCTCCCGTATCCTGGTAGGTCAGAGCACTCTGCCAGCCTCTGGTCCTCCCGCATCAAGGGGTCAGTGAGCTCCCCACCGACCCCCCAGTTCTTAGCCGGTGGCAGCGGAGTCCTAAGCCCTGCGGCCTGGCTGCAGCTAGGCCGTGTCCATGGCTCCAGGGAAGTTCAGTAGCCACGGGTCAATCAGATCGTGATCAGGGGCCATCTGGAGAGCCAGGCCGCCCGGCTGCCTCCGCCTGGAGGATGTGCCTGTGCAGAGGGCCCCCGCCTCCAGGAAGGCTGCCCTAACCAGCTCCCGCCAGCTGGGCAGGCGCTCCCTGCCCCTCCTCGGTGCGCGGAGAGGGTGGAGGCATGGGTGGGCCCGGCTGCTGTCAGCTCCCTGCTCGCCTGCGGCAGAGGCTGGCCCTGGCTCGGGTTTGTGGAATGGAGGCCAGGTGTGGTGGGGACTGTCCCAGAGCGTGTCCGGCCCTGGCCCGGAGCTCTGAGCGGCGCCTGACTCCTGCCCCCAGGCTGCCCTCAGGACCGGTTTGGCGTGAGCTGTGAGCGCGTGTGTCCCTGCAGGAATGGCGGTCTGTGCAATGCGGCCAATGGTCACTGCTTTTGCGGCCTGGGCTGGACGGGGCCGCACTGTGAGCTGGGTGAGCAGGCGGGCCGCGCCCTGGGCGGGCAGGGGGCTGGCTCTGGACCCCTGGGGGAGCCCCGGGCTCAGGAGCTCTGTGTGGGGCTGCCGTGGGGCTGGGCGAGGACCCCGGGGTCGCAAGAAGCAGACTGGTGCCCAGGGGCCATCCCTCGGGCCCCCTGCCCTTGGGCCCCTGCCCTTGCGCTGCTGAGGCCGACCCGCCGCCTCTCCCCCCAGCCTGCCCTCCTGGCCGCTACGGTGCCGCCTGCCGTCTGCAGTGCTCTTGCCAAAACAACGGCACGTGCGAGCCCACCACGGGCACTTGCCACTGCGGCCCCGGCTTCTACGGCCAGGCCTGCCAGCACTGTGAGTCCTGGGGTGGGGACCCCGGCCCCGGTGGCTGTTCCGCATGGGACATCGGGGCCAGCGTGGGCTTCCCCATGGCCGCTGTCCCTGTCCCTCCCCATGGCGGCCGGTGAGACAAGGCCCGGCCCCACTCCCTGTGGGACTCGAGGCCAGAGGTCCCTGGCTCGGGGCCCATGAGAGCAGGGGGACCTCCCACCGAAGCCCCAGCCGCGATGGGGGGTCCAGGCCTGGGTGGGAGAAAGGGGGAGCGCGAGCCTCTGAAGCAGGACCTGTGCTCACTCGGGGCGGGCTGAGGTAGGGGCTCTAACGGGGGTGTCCCTCAGTCTGTCCCCCCGGCTTCCACGGGGCCGGCTGCCGGGCAGCGTGTGAGTGTCAGCACGGGGCCCCTTGCCACCCCGTCAGCGGCCAGTGTGTCTGCCCCGCCGGCTTCTACGGCCAGCTCTGTGAGAGGGGTGAGTGCTCCGTGTTCCCACGTGCTCCCTGGCCCTGTCCTGTCTGGTAGGGGACAGGAGGGGACACTGAGTCCACTGCCCCTGTCCAGGGTGCGAGCCAGGCTCTTTTGGAGAGGGCTGCCGCCAGCGCTGTGACTGCAGGGCGGGGGCACCCTGCGACCCCGTCACCGGCCAGTGCCTGTGTCCCCCGGGGCGCACAGGGGCCGCCTGTGACCTCGGTGAGTCTGGGGTCCCCTTGGCGGAGCACGGGCGCGGGTCTCTGCTGGTGGCAAGGGGGAGCTCTGCCCTGCCCTGGCCTGGGCGCTGTGCCCCCGGCGCCCGTCCTGCCCCTCTGTGGGGGCGTGCCCAGCGTGGGGCTCCTGCTCAGGGATGTCAAGGCCTCGCCCTGCTCTCTGGCCAGAACGGGGGCCCCGGTGAGGTGCGAGGGAGACCGTCCCGATCTGCCAGCCTGCTCGGGCATGGGAGGGGCTGTCCGCTGCAGGCTGCACGCACGATCTCACCGTTGTGTGTTCCTCTTGACTGGGGACGGGCATCCCTGACTGCCAGGCGCCCCCCTTTGTCAGCCCCGGGCCTGTGCAGGTGCCCAGTACCTGGCGCCTTCCCAGGTGGGAGCTCCCACAGGGCAGGGAGAGTGAGGCCCAGAGGCCCTTGCTCCGCCCACCCCTACCCAGAGGGCCTGGGGTGCCCTGGCCAGAGCAGGTGGGATGGCCCTCAGGCCTGTGTCTCCCACTCCCTCCTGCCTGCAGACTGCACAGCGGGCTTCTTCGGGCCGGGCTGTGCCCTGCGCTGCGGCTGTGGGGCTGGGGCTGCCTGCGACCCCGTCAGTGGGCTGTGCACCGTGTGAATGGCTCCCTGGGGCCCACCTGCCAGCAAGGTGAGTCAGGCTCCCGAGGGGGAGGCGGGAAGACAGCGTGCTCCCCGGCCCGGCCCCGGCGCGGACCCGCTCCTCCCCCGCCCCCCCCAGAGCTGAGCAGCCAGCCTAGCTGGTGAGAATGTCACCACCCGCCCCCCGCACCTGTCCCCCCGGTACCCGAGGTGTCTGCCTGGCTTCTCACGGGCGGGGTGTGGGCCTTGTAGCGGCTGGACGGCAGGTGGGGCGGGGTTCTGCCGGGCCAGCAGCCCCCAGCCCTGTGGGTGGGCGGATGATCCAGGGTAGCTGGGCGCTGACCCCCCGCCTTGCCCCGCATGTGTGTGCACGGGGGCGTGATGGTGCGCCCCTGCCTACGTGTGCTTCAGTCTGTGTGTGCAGGCCAGTGCCCACCGGCAACCCCCCAACCCCGGGCGGTGGGGGAGGGTGCTGTGACAGCCGCCTGGCCTCAGCCCCCACGGCCCCCGGGGGAGCGTGCATCTGCAGGCAGAACTTGGGGTGCCCTGGAGCCCCCTGGTCAGCTCGCCCAGGCCCAGGCTGCTGAAGGGAGGGGGGTCATGTGCTGGGAGGGTTGCGTCCGGGCCCGCGGGGATGGGGGGGCCAAGCCGTGAGTGGGGATTCCAGATGGGCCCACGGCCTGGGAACCCCACAGGCGGGCTGGATCTTATGTATGCACGTTTTTGCGCCCCTGGGAGGCAGCCCTGGCCCGCGACTGTTAGGAGCCCCAGGCGCGGGGTCTCCTGGCGGGCGGAGGCGGCCCTGGACGGAGCGCCCACCTGGCGGCACCTGGTGGCCGTCTGTGGTACTGCACCGCAGGCCCCAAGGTGGTCCCCGCAGCCGGGCGTGTAGCTGGGGTCTGGCACCTGGGTCACCCTTCAGGCCCGTGGGAAGGAGGAGAGGCTAGGCTGTGCTGCCTCGCAGTCCTAGGCTCTGCCCCCTGCCCTGGAGTGGACTGGTGCCTCCTAACAAAGCCCCTCCCAGCCCTCCATGCTGCTGGGCTGGGGGAACTGGGAGCTTTCATTTGGGGAGGGGGGGAGGCCCTGCTGTTTGCGAAGGTGTGAGCAGGGGAGGGGAGAGGCTTTGCTGGGAGGAGCCTTCGGGCCCAGGTGGGAGAATGGCATTTGCATTTGGGGGCGCCACTGGCCTATGACTGGCAGACGGAGGTCAGAGGAGGGATGAGGGTTGCACACTTTTCTAGAACCGGGGTCCCACAGGGCAGCAGGCCATCCAGAACCTGGACCTCAGAGATGAGGCTGGGCAGAAGCTGGGGAGGAAGGGGGCCGTCTCCCCTCTGGGCTGGAGCTGGAAGGGCAGGAGGGGACATGGGAAGTGTGAGCCCAGAGCTTGGGCAGCTTCAAGAGTTTCTGCCTGCCCTGGCACTGACCCTCGTTCCCCCTGTTCTTCCGCCTGCCCTGGCACTGACCCTCGTTTCCCCTGTCCCTACAGCGGCCTTACAACCAGCTTCTCATGAACCAGCACTTGGGCTCGGCAGCCGGGCAGAGAAACCCTCGCTCAGAGGCAGCCGCAAGCAGGTCCTTCTTCCAGGCGCTTCGCTGACGACTGAGGAGGGGCGCCTGGGGGCCGGCCAGGACTCCGGCCCAGACTGCCCGGCCCTGCGGCCCCGCACTGGGCAAGGAGCGGCTGGCCGCGGGGAGGGAGGCCCTGCCTGGCCTAGCTCCAAGGGGCCCAGGCGAGTGGGCCCGGCCTCGGGCTGTGTAGCACACAGCTGCGCTGGCCGCACGTGCTGAGGAAGCCCTCCCCCCGCCCCCCAGCCGCCCCCTCCATGGCCCTGGGTCAGGACTGAGGGCAGGCATGGCTGCAGGTGCAGGCAGGGGTCCCTGCCCTCTGAGCAGGTTCTTCTGGTGCTAGGCCCTGGGACTGCTGCGCTCAGCCCGTTTACCTGGAATCGTGGCCCACTGTATTTATGGAGAAGTATTTATGGGCAGCCGGCCATGCCCACTGCGCCCCTGGGCACCGACAGGCTGCCCCTCCCTGCCTGCCCCAGGAAACCCTGCTGCAGGACTTTGCCCCTCCCCCCCCTCCGCGGGGCCTCTGGGCGGCGGGCTCCAGTACATGTGAAACCCAGAAACTTAAGAAAGAAGCTGCCGCTTCCTTGTGGCCTGTGTGTTCGCTGCTTTGGGCTCATGGTGCTGGTGTCCCAGTGTGTCAGCAGGAGTGTGTTTGGACAGGAACGTCCTCCGGACCAGGGAGGCCCCACAGGCGCCCGGCCCCAGCTGGTCCCTGCCCCTCCCTGGGGGTGGGGGTGGCACACGAGGAGAGTTGGGGTGTGTCCTGGCTCCTGGTGCTCTAGAGGGGCGCGCGGGGCTGGTCTGCGTGTGGGAGCATGGCCCCGCGGGGAGGAGGCTGGCCCGAGCACATGGGTGATGTGGGGGGGCAACATGGGCACCCCACCCCTCCTGTCTTGAGGGTGGAAACAGCAGAGGGGGGTGCCCAGTAGACTGGGTTGGACCCAGATGGCCACACCGGGCACTTAGGGTCTGGGCTGTAGCCCCCAGTCGCCCCCCAACACCAGCCCAGCTAGCAGATACCCTCAAGGCAAAGGGTCTTGCTGAGTGAAATGAGGAGGGTTCTGGCAGCCATGTCCCCTTAAACAGACAACTAGGGAACGGCCCGTAGCAGAGAAAGCCAGTTAATGGGCTGCAGTGTTCAGGCTTTCAAGTAAATGTAATGAGGGCCCCAGGACAGGACGGGGGGCCAGGCTGGTGACCATACAGGAAGAAGCTGTTCTGGGAGGAACAGGGGCTGGACAGTGGGCTCTGTAGTCCAGGGCCTCTGCTGAGAGCGACAGGGAGGCTCGGAGGGAGGGGACACCAGAGGAGGAAGGTTAATGGAAGTGGAGGAGGGGAGGCGTTAACCTCCTCTAATGAAGCTCTAGAACGAGAGGGAAAAAGTCGGCAGGAAGCAACAACAGAGGTGAATGATCTCAGACTGAAAGGGCTCCACACGGCAGAACAGGAGTAAGCCACTCATGCTCTAAAGAATTTTAAGGAAATCACCAGCAAGGAGATCCTAAAAGGCCCAGGAAAAAAGAACAGAGATCCGCGTGGCATCAGACTTGAAACTCTGGAAACCAGGACAGTGACGTTCTGTTCTCAAAGCACCAAAGAAAAATTTTTGAAACTCGAAATGTATGTGTTGTTAAAGTGTCTGAAAAACAAAGCCAGGGTTACTTTCTGGGGGTTAACCTTGGAAGCCAGAGCTGAAACCGTGCCTGGAGGATGCTCGCCAGCAAGAAGAGCAAGAAGACCTGCAGGTGCAACAACATGTTCCCGTGTCACCTAGTGGCAAAGAGAAGCAAACATTCACAGTGAGCGACAGCAGGGGCGGGGAGAGCGTGCCAGGGCCCTCCCTGCTGGCGAGGGACACGGACAGACCACGGACGCTGGTGGGGTAAGCACACCGGAGTGAGGCAGCCCTGCTCGCTGCAGGGATACGGGCAGGCTGGGTAGCCTTTCAGGCCCTGGAGGACGTGTCCTCGCTCCGCTGGAAGGCGGGGAAGGAGGAAAGACAAGCGGAGTAAGGAAGTAGATCCGCAAGGCCCATAAATGGGGACAAGGGACGATCGAAACCCGGGTCCCAGCGCGGCCTTAGATGCTGCTCAAGGGTATTTGAACTGTGAAAGATGCCCCTAGAAGGATGGACGTAGACATATACGAAGCAAATCAAAAGAAAGCTGGGGTAGGAGCTTTAATGTTTCGGGGTGAAACACATCAGAAGTGGTGGTGTGGAAATCCGGGTGCGGATGTATGCACGTGACCGCGGAGGCTCGGAAATTCGCAGGACTGACGCTGTAGCTGGAAATAATCTGTACCAGCTGGTGATTTTAACGTGTTCTTTAAAAAAAAAAAACAATGAATAAATAGGTCAAGCAAACAGGACATAAGCAATGATAAAAGTTTAGTAAGCTTTAACGCACGTGGTATACAGATATTTATGCTCATATTCACACGTTCATCCTATTCATATACACAGAATTTGTATCTATGTATATAAACTTCACACTCACAAATGGAGAACGATGCAACACTTAACAAAACGAAAACCCCTTTGAAGATGAGTAAGGAAGAAAAGAACTAGGAGGATTGATGATTTTTTTTAAACAGAGAAAACACAGAAGGAAGAATTAATGCACAGACATGATGAAGAGTAAGACGTAAAAATGATATTAAGAGTGACCACATACAAGGAACTTGAAATTTTTTTTAAAAAATGGGTAAGTTTTGAGGGAAAATACGAAATGCCAGGATTGGTGTTGGTAGAAATAAAAAAACTTGAATGAGCCAGTAACGTAAGTAAATGCAAATAGTAACGGGAGCCCAACACCACCCCCAGGAGTGCCTGAGACGTCAGCCCGTGTGGGTGGGTGTGCCAGTTTCCAGACATGGTGAAGCTGTCTAATGTGAATTGTTCCGGAACCTCTAAAAAGAAGAAAAGCAGCTCACTTCATTCCATGAGGCCAGTATAACCTGGTTCTAAAACCAGGTGGGGGTGGTACAAGGAGAGATTACAGACTCGTCATGTGTATGCAGAAATCCTCATCCACACGTGAGCAGGAGGGACAGAGGGAGAGGGAGAATCCTCAAGCAGACTCCCTGCTCGACTCGGGGCTGGATCTCATGACCCCGAGATCAAAACCTAAGCTGAAGCCAAGAGTCGGATGCTTAACCGACTGAGCCACCCGGGCGCCGCAGCACTCAAAAATATTTAAAAAATAGTATCAGCTTGATCCAATGGGGATTGCACTTGACTAAAATGCCAGGACAGTCTAACATACAAAATGCGTTGACGTATCTGGGGACACGAGAAATCGGATGATTGACGGAAGCAGAAAGAGCATTCTGTAGAATTCAGCATCTCTTCAGGATATAAATTCTTGGAAAACCGGGGTGGGTACAGACAGGACCTTTGTCGACAGTGATCATGCATCAAGAATCTCTTGCAAGTCTGGCGGAGAAACCAGGGGCTCAAGTCTCTGAGTGAAGGCTTGCGGGCTGGTAATGCCCGCCCAACACACCCTGGAGCCCTGCTCTCTCCTCCCTGCGCTATCCACTTCCCTGGCCCTGACCCGGGAGCCCCCAGCTCTGGCTGTCCTTCCCCCGGGAGGATGCAGTCTGGGAGATGGGGCCCCCCAGACGGACGGGGCCTGGGTAGGGCCCCTTAAACGCTGTGGGAGGCGCAAACAGCTTCCCTGGGAGGGAGACTGGACACCAGCATGTCTCCTGCCCCCCCCGCCCCTCCCAGTGCAGCTCCCCAGGCCCCACTCGGTGAGAGCTAGAAACTAGGACGTGAGGCTGTGGGGAAGAGAGAACCCTGCTCGGGGGCCCAGGGGGGCAGGACTTGGGATGCAGAAGGGCCAGCAGATGAATGAGCGCGACTAGGAATCAGAGTGAAAAGCATGGATATCCTATGAAGTGTGTAAAACCTATGAAGGTCGGTAGAGCTTCAGCAGAGACCGTGATGAACCAGGAAACAGTACCAGGTACGACATCCTTCAATGCGGCAACAAGACCCATCTGTGCCCGCGGGTTTATCTGGCAAAAGGATGCATGAAGCCCTGAACCATATTAGGAGCCCTGCAAGGGGCGGAGGGCCCCCGATCTGGTGCGACCCCAGGCCCAAGAGCGCCCAGGGACGGGCTGACAGGTGACAGCTGGGGGGAGGGGGTTGGGGGTGTGTAACATGGGGGGGCTAATCTCGGTATCGATGGCAGTAACCAAGGGTGATGATGAAGTGTGCGGGATTCAGGGACACCCAGGGCCCACGAAGGTCTGGATGGAGATGCCGACCTGGATGCCTAAGGGGCAAGAGTCAGGGAGTCTGGGGGCTCTCGTCATGGCGTGGGGCATGGGGAGCCCCAGGCACTGCTGGGGTGCCACCACGGACACCTGGGGGCACTGGATGTCTTTAGGGCTGCGGGCATGGCCGAAGTGCCCTCCGCCAGCCACCCGGGCCCTCAAGGGAGGTGGGTCCTCCCTGCAGAAAGGCCCCAGAATGTTCCGGAGTGGTCCTAACAGCAAGTGGGTGGGCTGGGACACCTTGGTGTCTCTTCCCACTGGGCCCCATTGGGGTTGGCTGACGTCCCAGGAAGCCTAGGTGGCTCCCAGCAATGGGCAGAGGCTGTTGGGGCCTGTTTCCCCGCCTGCAACAAAAGGGGCCGTGCAGCTGGCTGGGAGGAGGCGCTGGGCTAAACAGCCTCTGGAGACCCCTCCCCAACACAGCAGGTGCGGCGGGGTTCTTCCAGGACGGCCTGGTGTCTGGAGGTGGGAGGCAGAAAGGTCTTAAGACCAGCTCTGCCGGAAGGCAGGTCAGAGCAGCCTCCCCCTGGGAAGGGCCAGGGTCTGGGCTGGTCTGCTCTGCCCCCAGGCAGGGACCCCAGACCGAGCAGAGACCCCTCGGGGGGTCTCGAGTGGGCACTGGCGCTGGGGTAAGCCCTGGGCTTCCTCTCCATCGTCCACCCGCCTGGGCCCCTCCAGACCGAAGCAGCCCGGCCCTCTGCTTCCCGATTCCTCTTTGAAGGGTGTCTGTCCCGAGCTGGCCCTGCCCGGGCGGACCCAACCCCCCCCAGCAGCCCCCGCCTCTGCATCCGGGGACATCCCTCCTCCTGGCTAAACATTCTTCCTGCTTGCTTGGGAGGTAGAGGGGGCTTCAGCCACTCTGCAGACCGGAGGACCCGAGGCTGTGTCTTGGCCCCAGGTCAGGACATTAAGGGCGTGGCTCCAGGGCCGTCCAAGCTCTCTCTGCCCCATTCACTGAACCTGTCCCTGCCAGAGGGTGGGCAGTAGACAGACCTGCCCTCCCCGTTGGGGGGTCGGCGGTGAGAGCAAGCGGGTGGGCCTCCTTCGGAGGGGAGCGGGGCTTCCACCAAGATGCCGCCCCCGCCCCTGCCTGGCGCGCGCACACACGCACACGCACACATGGGCGCGCCCACGCCGGGCCCTGGCTGCCTGCTCGGCCGGCCGCGGCTCTGCGGAAAGAGCAGGGAGCTCACCTAGCTCACAGGTGGGAAGGTCGGGGTCCCAGATTCCCAGCCGCACAGGAAGTGGGTGGAGCTACCTGGGGCTGACTCCGGAGAACCCCCGCCCTGCAGCCGTCCCTGAGCCCTGACCTGTCCCATCCCCCCATCAGGCAGAGTCCCCGCCCAGGACGGCCGGTGCGGTCTGAGCTCTGACCTAGGCCGGGCCCCCCGACTGCCTGAGGCCATGGACGTCACCTTGGAGGTCAAGGTGCTACATTCCTTCCCTTACCGGAGTCAGTGGGCGGGGCTCAGGGCGGCCCCTCCCCCGCCCTCGGCCCTGCCACTGGCTCAGTCCCCTCCCGCCGGCCCAGGGCTGGGCGGGGCAGAGGGACGGCCGGCCCAATCACCCACTTCCGACTGGGAGGTGGGGAGCCACAGCCCTGGCCTTCAAACCGAAGCCGGAGCCCCAGCGAGCCCTCACCCCAAGGACGGCACTGCCCAGGCCGAGAGGGGCACTGGACAGGGGCAGAGGCATCGCAGGCCGGCAGGGCACGACCCAGCCTTCCAGCCTGGCCTAGCAGCGAAGAGCCCAGGCCAGCCTGCCCCTCCCCAAACGCACGTCCAGGGCCTGGGGGAGCAGATGGGCTGTGAGGGAGGTGGGCGCCGGGGGGACATTCCAGTGGGGTCCCCAGACCCACTGGCCAGGCTGAGCCCTGCAAGGGAGTGTGTGGGGATGGGGGTCAGGAGCCACTGGCTTTGCCCACGACGCTCCATGCGGACAGTCAGGCCAAGGCCACAGAGGAGCATGGGGTGACCATGAACAAGGGGGCCACACAAGGCCCCAGGACCTGACACAGGCGCCCACACTCGGGGAGCAGGCCTGGCCCACGGCACCTTGGGCATTTTGCAGGGACTCATCTGGCTTTCTCTGGGGTGAGGATTTCCATGGAAATCCAGGTGTTAAAGAAATACTTTAATGTTTATGAAAACCTCAGCAACTCAGCACTGGCCCCGCAGTGTCATCTCCCTCTGGCGGGACCTCCTCTCCAAAAGTGGGGTGCCCCGGATGCCAAGCCCTCTGTTCCACATGAGGACGAGGGAGGGAGCTGGGCCCACATCCTGCACAACTGCCCTGCGGGAGCACAGGGTGCTAGAGGAAGGGCAGGGCTCCTCCCTGGGGTTTGGTCAGGGGTCAGGCGACCTGGCCCCCCCCCCCCGAGCTGGCATGGAGGATGCTCCCCGGGGGCGGGCAGCACGTGTGAACTTCCTCCCTGGAAGAGTCTGGATCCGGTACTGCAGACCACGGGGCCTCGCGGGGACCCATGGACTATTCAGGCTCCTGGGACAAGCCCACCTCGTCCAGGAGCCTGGCCGCTCACTGGAGCGTGGATGGAAGCAGAGCTCGGCCTAGGTGCTGGGCAGGGCAGGCTACACGTCCGTCTCCACGCGCAGCCGCTCCATCCTGCGCACGTTGCCCTCCACGGCCACGCGGCTGGTGATGCACCGGGCAAAGTCCTCGGGGAACCAGCCCATCTCCCCATCTCTCAGCCGCTCGCCGTAAAACCATCCTGAACACAGATGTGGGGCAGGTGAGGGCAGGATCCGGGCACCCCCAGCCCTCAGAGCCGCTGTTCCAGAAGCTGCCAGGGCCAGGCCTCCCATAGGGCAGACCACCACCCGCTCCTGCCAAGAGGGCCTGGCTCCAGGTCACAGGGGCACCCGGTCCTCTAGCAGCTGCTCAGCCGGGACACTGGCGTCAGGGGCTGAGCTGGCCCCAACCAGCTTCACATGCTCTGTGCAGGCGTGTGCGGGGGGGCCCCCAGGAGGAGCAGAGCCTCCCTCCTCCCGCAGAGGACACAGAGTGACAGAGAAGCTGATTTTGATCCTGTGACTCAGGGACGTTTGAAGAGGTCCTTGAGGGAGGGTGCTGAGGGGCCTCGGATCAGGCCCACCATGAGCAGGCGCAGAAATCGCTTCTGGGGGGCCAGGCTCAGGGTCAGCTGCCCGCACCTGGTGTGCTCCAGACATTTGCGGGGCCGCTGGCCTATCCCTCTTGGGTCCACTCCGCCTACATCCCGCCACCACCCAGGCCCAGCCCCGGCGTGCTCACCATCCTCCTGCTCCAGGACCAGGACCACGTCCGCCTGCTGCAGCGTGATCTCGTCCGCCTGCTTGGCCAAGTAGGCCTTGGTGATCTCTACCTGGCGCAGGTCTGCAGGGGCGGGTGGGGGCGGGTGTCAGTGACAGAGCTGTCCCTGAGAGCGCAAGGGCCAGGAGCTCGGCAGCCCCCAGTCGGGCAGCGCTCCGCCTCCTAACAGGTCCCCTGTGGCTTGGTCTCGGTGGGGCCTGGGGGCTCTGGACACGTGGCAGCTTCCGTCCAGAGGCCCCAGGACAGGCTGCTCCTGATTTCAGAGCCAAAGCACCAGCACCAGCAGAGGGGGCACCCGGCTTCTAAGGGGCAGGGCTGGAGCCGGGGCGACAGACCGATGGGCCAGCCGGCTGCCCTGCTGTGGCCTCAGTCGGCTCCAGTCCCTGGGCATGGGGCAGCATTCTCTCCCCGGCATGGAAGGGGAGGCCCTGGGACAGAGCTGGGTCGCTGTGCACGGACAGACACACACAGACGCAGCTCTGGGGTCCCTCGCCTGGGTGGGTCACCCTGGGGGCAGGCAGTGGCACGGACAGAGGGCTGGACAGTGCCTCCTAGCTCCATGCCAACCCCCTGCCCAGGCCCGGGGAAGCGGCTGTGAGCCCTGTTCAGGGTGGAGCAGACGCTTACCTCCTTTGTTGGTGGGGCCCTGCCCCTGCCTCTCCCTGTGAGTGAGCGCGGTGATCCACCGGGCCCGGTCACTCCTGCAGGTGGAGAAGGGGTGCGGGAGGCCCTGAGGCCACTCTCGCCAGCCTGGGGACCTCTGGCTTCACACGCCCTGCCCCCAGTGCAGCACCATGGAGAGATGGGGTGTCACGTGGCCAGGGGTTCCTTGAGCGTGCCCCACAGCCCTCAAGGTGCGACGGCAATGACGATGAAGGTTCACGCTGCTGGGGCGCCCTTTCCTGAGCCCCATAAACCACTGAGGGACCATGTGTGGGAAGTCACAGGGCAAGAAAGAGTGGCAGGCAGGCTGACCCTGAGTCTCACCTGCCCAGGGTCCCAGAGTCAGGCAGCAGCCGCACCCCCACACCCCAGGCCACCCTGTCTGCTGGCGCTGGGCCCCAAGCCCACTGCCCCGTGTCAGTTCATGGTTTTTAACCTTTAGCCTCAGTTTCTCATCTGGAGGGAGCATGGACACAAGCCAGCCTCGTCCCTTCCTCCGTCATCTGCTGAGCCCCCGCTGTGCTGTCATCTCTGTGTGCTGCCCAGCCCCCCTTCCAGATGGTTCTGACCTTACCACCCCCCACTGCTGGCACCTGGGCTCTGGCCCTGCCGGCTTCCGGGCTGCTTCTCAGCAGAGACCTCCTGCCTCAGGGCCTTTGCACTGCTGTGCCTCTGGCAGGCCCTGCTCCCCAAACGGCACCGTGCCAGTCAGGCTGCCCCCACCTGGCGCTCCCTTCCCTGCCTTGACTTCCTGCTTCGTTGGTGCCCCTGGACACAGCCGACGGTCCAGCTGCTCGTCTGGCTGAGGCGTCCCCCCTCCCAGCAGTGTGACCTCTGGGAGGACAAGGCTGCCCTTGGCCTCTGCTGCAGGGCCCGACACACAGCAGGTGCTCAAGAACTCGATGGCATGGACCCCTCCTCCCAGGAGCCCTCCCCTGACTCACGCCGAGTCGGAGGACAGCAGGATCTGCTCCTGGCGGCCCTCACTGTTGCGTAACAGGGTCACTTGGAAGGGGTGTGGCACCGAGGAGCTGCGGCTGCCGCCGCCCCCGAGCAGAGAGGGGTCAGAGGGCTCCATCTTCTGTACCCGGATGTGGTCCACCTGGGCGTAGTCCTGAACCATGAAGCTGTCCTCGCTGTAGGGAGACAGGTGGGCGGCCAGATGTGACAGAGGGTCTGTGGGCAGCCTGGGGCTCCTGCCCAGCTGGGGGGCACGCAGCCAGAAGGATGCACCTGAAACTGCCCCCCAGAAAACAGAGGCCATGTGCATTCTCGTCCTTGTGGCCTGGGTGGGCAGACCCTGGTCTGCCGGCAGTGAGAGGCACCCGGCCGCTGCCAGGGACAGGCCAGGCTGGGAGGGGGCCCCCAATTCTGAGGTCAGAGGAGACTCAGGCGGCTGCCCCCACACCCCTCTGGCCCCGATCGCAGGGCCACACAGCCCGGCACCCAGGTGGCCCACCTTTTCTTCTTGGTGACCACCAGAACGTCGTTGAACAGAAATAGGTAGCACGTGGGCCGGCTGGCTAGTTTTCGGAAAAGCCCAGTTTCTTCTACCACGAAGAGCTCCCCACGCTTCAGCAGCCAGCGGGAGGCCGAGATCAGTGGGAGGGACTGGAAGGAAGAGCCGGTGGGTGCCGGAGCTGGGGGGCGGCAAGGATGGGCGGGGATCCCTGCCTCTAAGGACTGGGTGACCGGCCTCCCTGGCTAGACCAAGGAAGACGGGGAGATGTGGCCTCCCCTCAGACAAAGGGCTATTCTGTTGGCCGACAGGCACAAATGGGACAGCGGCTCTGTGCCAGGTCCCGGGCCCAGATCCTGCCCAGCAACCAGGACAGGCCCGTCCTGCCTCCAGCCAGGCCCAGGGGCTCTCCTAGCACCCGCCGATCACTGTCCCCGAGCCGGAGAGCGAAGGCCATCGTGGGGAAGCCTCCACACACCCCTCACACCCTTTTCCAGACCTCTGTGCCCTCCTTCGGTCACTCCAGCCTCCCGGGCAGCCTCTGGAGGTCGGCAGCCCAGCCCGAGCGAGGACAAGCGGAGGCCGGGCCCACAGAGCTGCCTCCGGGCCAAGTCCCGCAGAGCATTCCCATGGGAAAGTGTCTGTCCGTCTGCGCCTCACTTGCTGCTAGACTTGGCCAGGGGGCTTCGGAGGGCCTGTAGGATGTCTAGACCCCTCCCCAGACTGAGGGAGGCCAAGATGTGAACTGGCCCCAACATTGTTCTTTCCCCGTTCTCAGGGAGCTGTGAGGAGCCCTGGCCGGGGGCAAGCCCTCGGGGCAGCCCTGGGGGTGAGGGCAGAGGCCAGAGAGACCCCAGGCAGGAGGGCGGCAGAGCTGAGCCTCTGCGGACAAGGGGGCAGGAGTCACAAGGGACGCTCCCCGGTGGGGAAACGGGCCTGGAGAGGCTGAGGCAGAGGCCCCGAGGCTGTGACCCGACCTCCGAGGAGCTGGCTCAGGAGGGGTCGGGAGCGCCCACCTTGACCTTGCTGAAGTCCAGCTGTGTATGCAGCGTGTACATCTGCTCCGTGCGCTCCATCTTGTGGGCCCCCTCATTGCACTGCTTCACCAGCTGCAGGGGGGCCGGAGAGCAGGCTGTGCTGCGGGCTGTGGCCCCCCGCCCCGGGGCTGTCCTCGCTGCCGCCCCCCGACGGGCTCACCCATCAGGTTCAAGCCCCACTCCCTCTGGGCCTTGGTTTCCCCATCAGCACCGTGAAAAGCCTGACGCGGATGATGTGGAAACCTGCTTTCGGGGTCCCCACCATTGGGTGGGGGCAGGCGCAGACCTTGGCTCGGTCCAGGTGCCCCCTCCTCTCCCCTGGACCCCCCTCACCTTGCTGATGGCCTTGAGTGCGCGGCTGGCGGCCTTGTATCTCTCGGGATGGCCTTGACTCTTGAGGCAGAGAGTCTGCAGAGGGGACCCCGCATCTCAGGCACTGTGTACCCGGCTGTGCTCGGGGCCACATGCGGCAGAGGACCCCCCAACAGCACACCCAGGTGGGGGCCGCGGGGAGGCTGAGAGCCCGTGTCCAGCGGGCTCCTGCCAGGCCCCACGGGGGTGCACAGCCCCCAAACGGCTCTGCCAGGTCAGGCTCTGGTGGGTGGGACCCTGGAGAGGGCACCCTCCCAGGACCCCAGCCCTTCCAGGCCTCGGCTGTCTCGGTCCAGTCTGGGGGGGCCCCCACAGCCTCTATTTCGACACTTCCGAGGGGCCCCGGAAGGCCTGACGTCCCATCTGGCCTGGACCGACGGTCCTCCAGGCATGAGCCACGTGCTGCCTCCGGGGGCCTAGCGGGCTCCGGCCGTGTGTGCACGCGCTGTGTGTGCGTGTGTGCGTGTGTGCGTGCACGTGTGCCTCTCACCCCCAACCGCCCCTCGGCCCCGGGAGCAGGCATCGCAGAGGAGCGAGCCGCTGCAGGGAGCTCCTAGAGCCCCTCGCTCCATCCACCGAGGGGCAGTGAGTGGTGCCCAGGCTGGTCCTGCCTCGTCCGTGCGAATGAACCCTGTGAACCTACAAAGAAGTGCATGCAAACCCACAAAGTGCTGGAAGGTTCCGGGCAGGGAGCCTCGCGGGTGAAGGCCATGAAAGCCGACTCGTGAGGACCGAGGAGCGCCGGGGAGGGTCGTGAAGGAGCGGTGCTCGACCGGAAGCGGGGGACCGGGCCGACCCCCTTCCCCGGCGGGGGTCTGCGCGGCATACTCACGTCCGTCAGGAGGGGCAGCCGAGTCACCCTCTGCATGGGGAGGATCAGGAAGGAGATCATGGGGAGACCCCCGCACGCGGGACGCTTCTCGATCTCCTTCAGGGCCTCGTGGAAGGCGGTGTTGCTGTTTCTGCAACAGAGAACAGGGCTTGCCGTCGGCCGTGGCGCGAGGCCAGGTGCAGCTGGCATGAGCCGGGCGGCGCGCAGGAACGTGCTCCCAGACCAGGGCGCCCGGAGTGGGCCCCCGGCCGCGGGGAGGCCGCGCTCACGTCAGCCTCTGCAGGGCGCGCTGCTGGTAGACCTCGTTGGAGCAGTAGGCGACGTAGGGGTGGAAGTGCTTCTCGGCGTGCTCCTCCAAGATGTCGCTGATGTCCTCCACGCAAACCTCTGCCTTGTGCCGCTGCTCCAGGGCCTCGAAGAACCTAACCGGGCGGGAGTGCGGTGAAGGCCCGGCCGTCCACCACCACGGCACACGCGGCAGGAACCCAGCAGGCGCGTGGGGGGCCCGCCGCCCGGGAAGACCCCAGGACAGATGAGCCTCTTAAGCCTGGAATAACTGGGCAAACCCAAGGCCAGCTCCGGTTAGATTCTGGCAGAGATTCCAGGAGACACGCAGACAGGCAGGACGGAGAACCTGTCCCTCTGATTCGATTCCCGGGGCTTGGGTCAGACCGCACCCTCTGCCCAGCTCGATGTGTGGACGGGGGCTCCGGGTGGACTCCCCAGCGGTGGCCACCAGGCCCTGCTTCCTCCTGGGGTCCCCTTCTGAGATCATACTTGGCCACAGAGATCAGGAGGACGCTGACTGGGGTTGACCATGCTTCTGCTTCTGCGGACCATTGCTACCACAGCTAGGGCTGGCTGGACCGGCACCAGGACGTCTGGTGGACCCGAGGCCCCGTCACCTCCCCAGGCCCTGGCCAAGGCAGCCAGGAGGTCCTCCTCCTTCCCGGAGGCTCCTCGGCCCCATCCTGGCCTTCCACCTCCTCCAGTGACCGAGTCTCTCCCGTACCCAACTCTGAAAGCCCCGTTTAGCTGGGCTCCTGGGACTGCCCGAGGCAGCCCTGTCTGGAAGATGAGACAGCTGGCTGACCTCTGGAGGGCAGAGAGCTGCGTCCCCAAGCACATATCCACCCCCCCCCGGCAGCCTGAACCCCCAACCTGGGGCTGACCAGGCCGGGGACGGCCAGCTGCACGTGCTCTTACTGCTTACCCTGCCCGGTGGGAGGGATGGGATCCAGCATTGTGACAGTGAGTCAGGGCTAGGGGACAAGGCCAGGGGCGGAGGGGGGGAGGACGTGCCAGGCCCTCAACAATGCAGGCACCACGGGGCCTGCCGTCAGCCCCATCTAGCACCTGGGACGGGGGTACCACCCGGGGGGGAGGATGGGCAACCCCACCCCCCTGGAAGATGGGGGCCTTGCTCTGGTTACCCTTGGTAAGGCTGGTGCGGGTCTCAGGGAGGGCAAACAAGCCCCCGTTTTGAGGCCGGGGATCCCTCAGGACCCTGCCCGCTGGGCCTTGCCTGACCCTCCAGCCTCGGGGGCACCATGCGTCCCACAAGGGGGAACACTCTGAGAGCCCCAGGTCCTGGGCAGCCCAGGCAGAGGGGGACGGTGTGTCAGGAACAGACAAGGACCTGCCCCCTCAGGGAGGGCTCAGGAGGCCCCAGCTGCCCAGATGCAGGGCCACACGCCTGTGTCTGGGTGGGTGGGCCACGCCGGTCAGCACCTCCCCCAGGCGATTCCAAGGGTTTCTGAGAAAGTTCTGGGAAAGGTAGCCATGAGCTGCTGACCCAAGAAAACTGATTCCCAGAGAGGCCACTGTGAATGGCTAGGAGCTGCCAGCACCCGGCTGGGGGAGGAGGCTGGACTGGCCAGAGGCTGGCCAGAGGCCCTGGGGAGCTCAGCACCAACGGGACGGCTGGCCAAGGGTGGGCCCACACCCTCCGCTGTGCTTCAGGGACATGGAGCAAAGGGTCAGAGCTGGGTGGAGGGCAGCCGCCTATCCCAAGCCCCCATGGAGTCAAAGGTTGCAGGCTTCCCCAGGCTGGTCACTGAAGCTCTGCAGCAGGACCCGTCTCCAGGGACAAGATCGCACCCCCTCCCTCTGCATGGCTCTGAAACTTCATGCGGGCAACAGGTAGCAGGTGCTGGGTGGGGCTCAGGGGACAGGTCTGATGCTGATGTGAATGAACCGGGGCTGAGCCACCTCCTCTCACCTGCCCCTACCCTAGTCCTCCAGGGGGCTCAGGGGACCCCCCTCCTCAGGTGAGGGAGGATGCTGAGGCATGAGGGAGGGTGTCCCGCGGTGTCCTGGGGCCCAGGCTGTGTGGGGCTGAGCCCTCCGTGGGAGTAAACACGTACACACACTCGGAGGCACATGTGTGCACACACACGCATGCACACACCTGTGCAAGCACAGAGACACCTTCACTCCGGCACATGGACGCGCACACACAGGCCCGCGCCGGCCCCTCTACTGCTGGAGCCTGCAACCAGAGCCCTGGGCCGGGCACCGGACGCCGCCGGGCAGAACATGACCCGAGGCTGCAGCTCGAGGCCCCTCCTGCCCGCTCCATCCCGTGGCCACCCCACACCTTGTCGCTCTGCCTTCTGCACCTGGCGACCTGGAGGGAAGGTGACGCCATCTAGCAGGTGCTCCACCCTCTCAAACATGCAAGGGACAGGGTGCTGGGGGCGGGGTGCTCAGCCTGTCATGGGGCCCAGCGCTCGGTGGCCTCAGGGCCTGAGGAGGTCCCCGTGTCCCCTCCCAGCCAGCGGCCGCTCCAAACCTTCCGCCCATGGTCCCAGCCCGGGAGTCCCCAGAGATGCCCTGCCGCCGTGCTGCCCCAGGGGCGGGGGGTCCTGGCAGGCACGGGCCTCACCTCTGACTGGCGCTCAGGACGTCCAGGATGTTGGAGAAGAGGTGGTGGTGCTCGGTCTGCGTCATGGTCGCCCGCAGCTCTCTGGACTGCAGGAACTCGGCCACCAGGATGCCCAGGCTGTGCTGGTACGAGAACTCCGACGTGAGGATCTCAAAGATGGCCTGGCGGGGACGAGAGCGAGCAGCTGCCAGGGCCACTGGTCCCCTCGGGGACACGGTCAGGGTGCAGGGCAGGCTGGACCCGGGCCCTCGGACCAGACCTGGGGCGAGGCTGTGAGCCCGGCCGTGGGGACCAGAGCCCCACATCCGCGCATGCGCTCTGGCTCAGCCTCTTGTGGGCTGTGATGCTGGACAGGACCCCCGCCTGCGTCCAAGAAGGGGTGACGGAACCCCCGCCCAGCCAAGGGCGTTGCCAGGAGAGGGGAGGCATCGCCGTGGCCGCTGTCCTGCCCCACGTGTGTTGTGTGACCCACACCAAGTCTGGGTCACAGGGCTGGACCCCCCGCCCAGCCCCTCACCTCCTGCCTCTTGCGCTCCTCAGCAGGCAGCTTGTCCAGGAGGCCGGACTCCACCACCTGAGGAGGACACCGGCCTGGGGGTCATGGGTTTTGCACATCCCAGAAGCCCGGCCTCCCCTCCGAAGAGCCCTGGGGCCGCCAAGGAAGAAGATGGGCGTCCAGAGGGAGCGGCCGGCAGATGCCGTTGGGGTGGGGAGGGGGCTCTGTCCGCAGAGCTGGCCTGGGGGCCAAGAGGCGTGTGGGGACAGGGCCACAACACAGACACACTGGCGCGGGCGAGTCTGCGCCCTGCCCAGGAGGTTTCTGGCAGACGGCCCAGCTCTTCATGCTCTTAGGCCCTGGGGCCGCCAGGTGGCTAATCCCCTGCCTCTTCGTCCAGCCCAGAGGCTGGGCTCCGATTACCCAAGCTCAGGTGGCCAGGATCATTATCTCCGGTGGCATGTCCTGGACTCTACCCCGACCCGGGAGACACACACCCGCAGCTGCCCTCCCTGCCCCCAGGCTACAGGGCACCCTGTCCCTGGGCTCTCCGGGGATGGGGATGGGTCAGGAGTGTGGGTGTCCTCCTAGGGTAGTGACACCTACCTCCCCGCACACCTGCTCAGGGCACCAGGGCCTCTGTCCCAGCCAAGCTCTCCCGGGGGCCCCCTGCAGGCCTGCCGGGCAGGGACCTGCTCCGTTTCAGGTGTGGACAGTGAGGTGGGAGCTTGGCTCTCTTGAAGCCGAGGCCCGGCCCTCTCCCTTCCCCTCCCGTCTCCCCACTCGGACCCTCCTGGCACTCTCCTGGGGGCAGGGCCCTCGGAAGGGGGTCAGCCCGAGTAGGGAGAGGGCGAGGGGCTCACGTGCGGGAGGCTCATCATACATGCGCCGATGGCATGCGGCCCTCATGGCTCCCCACCCCCCCGCCGTCAGACCCAAATCCACAGTGTCCTCAGGGCAGGGCAGCTCTGAGGGCACCAGGAAGGAGGCTCCCCGCTGCAAGCTGGGCATAGAGGGTACTTCCAGAAGGCTCCTCCCCACCCAGGAGGACCCAGGCTGGCTTCGAGGGGCCAACCGCCCACGGGCTTGGGCTCAGGGCCTCAGCCCACCATCCCGGCCCTACCTCTGGGAGCTGGCTCCAGGTGACCTGGGCAGGCCGGTAGCTCTTGACTACGATGGGGGCATCCGCCTTTCCCGTCCCATCAGGGCTGGACGGCTCATCGAGCAAGTCATCGTCAGACTCATGGCTGGTGTTCAGGCCCCGCTCCCGGATCTCCTGGTAGAACCCGGGGTCTGGGGAGAGGGGGTGTGTCACCTGCAGGCCTGGGGGCTCTGAGCGTGCATGCCCCACTGGGAACCTGCAGGCCGAGTCCTCCCAAGGGGGCTCTGAGAGCATCAGGCGGCGCAGGGCCCCCCAGAGCAGGCTCCTCTCCGGCTGGCTGGCTCCCATGGCTGGGCCGCCCCAGCCCAGCACAGGGGTGACGTCCCAGTGCAGAATGTGGCACCTTCAGACCAGGGCTGAGCTGGCGAATCCGAGCCACAGGGGCCGCCTTGGGTGGGGGCCGTTCCCAGGCTGGGCCGAGAGCACTGGGTGCTGGCTCCCGGAGCCCACCCCCGAGGCACAGTCTCCCGCTCTCGGGCTCTGCAGCATCCCCACTGTGACGGGCTGGCGCCGGGCTCAGGGCAACCCCATGCCCTCCTTCCCATCTGAGACCTGCTCATCATTGCTCCTCTTGCTGGATCCTGCCCCCAGGCCTGTGGTTGTCCACAGAGGCCGGGGGCTGGCAGGGAGGGAGGGCCCTTCTTGGCTGGGCCCTCGCACAGCCCCTGGGTGCTGCATCCCGCTGGGCAGGCCCCTACCCCCACCTCCCTGTGGGGGCCCATCGGCATCCCACCCCTCAGCAGGCTGACGCACTGCTCTGGGCCCTCCTGAGCCCTCAACACTGGGCTCCCTGTATGCCCGTGAAAACAGGAAATGCACACAGCATGGGGGTCTACACCCCGGGGCCTCTGGCTGGCCTTGGTCCCACCCGTCCCACGACAGGCCTGGCACACGCATGCTTGGCAAACATCTCCTGGGGTCTGTCTGTCCCCTGCCCTTGGAACGGCGCAGAAGGGAGTACAAGGGAACATTCTAGACCCATCGGAACGACATAGTCAGATGAGCCACCAGGACCTCCTGTCCCTGGAGAAATCCCTTTCAGCATGTTCTCCCTGCACTGCACCAGCCTCCCCTGGGCCCAGCCTGGCCCACGGCGGCCTCCTGAGGTCGCCTCCCTCGGCCCCACTCACCGTCCTTGAAAGAGCCCTTGTGTGCGCGTTTCCGCCCCAGCGTCCTCTGTGCAAACAGGAGAGACACAGAAACGCCAGCAGTCAGCAGGGAGGGGAGGCAGCTGAGTCTGCAGCAAGCCCTCCACCCGGGGGCCCAGAGACCCCACAGCGCCATGCGTGAAGCCCTGCTCAACATGCGGGGGCTCTGCCGGGCACCCAGAAGGTGCTCGATAAAGGTCGGCTCGCTAGGAAGGCCGGGCCACGAGCAGAGCTGGTAGGGGCTGGTAGGACGGGGTGGAATGGGGGCTCAAAGCAGGCAGGGCAGGTTAACTGAGAGCTAGGCAGATCCAGGAGGGCTGCCTGGAAGAGGCAGCAGGACTGAACTAATCAAGAGGGGGTGCCCAGGGAAGTGGGGTGTTCCGACTGGGTGTGAAGGGAAGCCTGGACGTGTCTGGTTGGAGGGGCTGAGAAGGCCCAGGGGTGGGAGCTGGGGCCCCATGCAGGGCCCCACGCAGTCTGGGACCTGGGGCAGCAGGAGAGGCAGAGTCTAGCTCCCAGCTGCTGGCAGGACTGCAGAGAAAGTGGGGGTGGCAGGGCTCTCAGGGCCCCCACCTGCAGCCCCACCAGCTGCCTGCTCAGAGCCTGCCTCCTTGGCCGGACAGTTTTTCCTGACCCAGAAGCTGTGCCAGTTCCAGGAAAGCGAGACCTGGTTTCTCGAACGAGTAGGGGCCTGGAAACAACGCTTGCTGGGCTGGAAGGTGTGGCGCCCCAGCCACACCTGGCCTGCTCCCCCCACCCCATGCCCCCCCAGTGCCCCTCCTGCCTCCAGGCCTGTGTCCCTTGTTCACACCTCTGCTTTAACCCTTCTTCCTCCAGACCCTCTCCCGACCCCGCCCCTGCCCTGAGCTCCCAGGGAGCCAGTCTCTTCTCTGGGCTCTGTCGGCCCCCTGCATGGCCCCAGCCCAGACATGAGCACTCCAGGGCCCCCTGCCCCCTCACTGCCCTGGGAGCTCCCTGGGGGCCTGCCTGCCGGGCTCCCCTCAGGACCCCGGCACCAGATGCGGGAGAACTCGGGAAACATCTGTTGCACCCTTGAACCAGCAGCGAGTGAGCGAGCAGGCAGCTGGCCTGGTCCTGGGCGTCTCCGGGAGGCACGGAGGGGCTGTGCCCCGCCCTGGTGCTCCTCTCTGCAGGCTGACGTGCCCGCGCTGACGGTGGGCTTGGTTCCTCCCCAGGCCGGGGGTCACAGCTCAGTCCCGGGGGGCAGCCCCTGGCAGAGGCGGCCACTGGGACGTCAACTCTGGGCATGCGGACCCCGAGCAAGGGCGCCCTTCCCACCGGCCCTGCGCCGGTCCTATTCTGTCCAGAACACCGAGGCAGAAGGGCCATGGGGCAGGGGAAGGAGGGCGGGCGTGCAGAGAGGGCGTCAGACTTCTAAGCCCCGGACAGGGGCCCCTCAGGCAGACTGACCCAAGCCAGATGCTGCTCCGAAGCCCTCCCTGGAACTTGTCCCACAGGCAGGCTGGCTCCCCTTGGGGCTCAGAGAGAGAGGCCGGTCCCTCCAGAGGCTCTGCTCCCCACTGTGGCTGAGAGTGGGGACCCCAGAGCCTGGGGGCCTGGGGAAAGCCCTCAACCTTTCTGAGCCTCAGCTGCCTCATCTGTAAAATGGGGATGTTCTCACTCTGCTCACAGTCGGCCTGCCACACGGGACTGGGATGAACGGAGTCAGGTGCTTGCACGCAGTAGGTGCTCACTGGGCAGCAGCCGCACGATCAGGTGAGGCCCCGTCTACGCCTATAAGCTCGCGAGGCCCCTTGAGGCACGGCCCCCGCCCCAGTGTCCAGGGGGACAGGCCCCTACCTTATTCTTGGCCGGACACCGGGCAGAAGGTGGGCTGGTCTCCTCAGCCAGAGCCTGGAGCTTGGGGCTGAGCTGGATGGGGCCCCTCTCCCTGCCTGGAGCCCCCAGACCCTTCATGGCCGCCCGGTAGGATTGGTTCCGTAGGTTCCGTCTGAGCGCTCCCTCGGGGCCCGTGTCCACGTCCATGTCGTCCAGGGAGAAGCTGGGGGCGAAGACGAGCCGGGGGTCCCGCCGGGCAGCCTCCTTGCTGAGCACGGCCGCCCCGAAGCTCTGGTGGCGGGCTGGGGTCTTGGCCTTGCTGGATACAGCCAAGCTCCTGGGGATCAGCTGCTGAGTGCCCATCTTGCGGGCCGCAGGGCTCTGTGTGCTCAGGACGACGGCCCGTGGCTCCTTGTCCTTAGGGGACAGAGGTGGGGACACGGAGGTATCGAGCTGGAAGGCGGCATTGTCCCCGGCCTGCAGGGAGTCCCGGACCATGGGCAGCCTGGACGCCGGGTTCCCCTTGGCATCAAGCCGTAGCTCTGAGTGGAAACGGTATTCCAGTAGCTTCTCTTCCAAGGAGCTGTCCGAGTGTCGCTGGGACATGCTGAGTGGCCACGGTGTCCTGGGGCAAAAGCACAGAGGCGAGGGCAGCATGCAGACGTCCATCCCACAGCCCCCCTGCACACGGGCCCATCCACGGCTTCCCAGCATCTGCCCTGGCCAGAGACCCCGCTCGGGACGCGGGGCTTGGAGGCCTGGAGCAGAGCTGGGATGGCACGGCCCACAGCCACCAGGACTCCCAAGGGAGGTGTGCGGGGGGTCAGGAGGCTCAGGCCTGCAGGGCCCCAGGCTGCTGGGACTGGGGCAGAGGACAGGCGGCCACCTGCTTCCTCTGGTGGGTACACACACTGAGGACAAATCCCCACACTGGGGGTGCAGGCGTGGGGCATGCGGGGCGCACAGACCTAGGGCCCCGCAGACCTGAGCTGCATCTTTCCTGGGCCTCTTGGCACCATTTCTTCCTGGTCAGTGAGCGCACGGGGATCATGCCGTCTGTGCGGCTCTTCTGAGGCCTGCTTTGGGTAACGTGGTAGTGACCCCAGCCTCTGCCCGGCCCCCAAGCTCCAGAGCGCGCAGGGCCAGGCTCTGCCGTGCTGGGTTAGGTCTATGATCCTACCCACTCCCAAACACACTGGCTGTCTTTAGTCTCATTTTGCAAATGAAGAAACGAGACCCCGAGAAACCCAGGAGCCGGCCCTGGGACGGGGGACAGGAGGCGCGGGTCACCAGCATCTGAACCCAGGCCGGTCTGATTCCAGACCCTTTGTCTTCGCGGCCCCATGTAGCGGTACCACCGTGGCTGGTTACGCAGCCTTCCTACACGTCCAGCGACACACGTGCATTTTCCCACATTTACGAACTCGGAACGGGGCTCACGATCCCTTTCTCCAGAGCGTGGCCGGGCACGGTCATGCCCACTCTCCCTGCGTCCCTTGGATGCCCAGCCCTCCTGGGGCCCCGAGTGCCTCAGACCCTCAGCTGCGCAGAGCCCACCAACCAGTGTCTGTAAGCATTTGTGGGCTGGTTGTTCAGCCCAGCCTGGCTCATCCCGGCTGAGGGCGCCCTGCTCTGCCGGTGTGGATGGGCCCACGGCCGCCTTTCCACTCAGGGCCGGGAAGAGCCAATGCCAGCCTCCTGGGCACCCGCCACCGTCCTGCCCTCTGCTATTTTCTCCGCCTCTGTTTCAAAATCCACGAGTGGGCGGAGTAACAATGAGGCCGGCCTCCTGAGGGTGCAGGAAGACTCCCGGCCAGGCGCGGGCCACACTGCTGGGACGAGGACAAGGACGAGGATGGAAGGCCATCCCACACTCCTGCTCCTTGCTCCGGACAGACGGGCGGAACAGGCACCAGCTCAGGAGAACTTCGCAGGACTGGAGAAAACTCACTCCGTGTCTTTTCCTTTTAGTTTCAAGAAAAGCGAGCAGAGCCGCCGTCCGCACCCTCTTGCAGACACACGGCCTGTACGTGTTACAAGGGCCGGGCAGGGCTGGAAGCCTGTTTTTCGGATGGGAGAACTACGTCTCCAAGTCACCAGCCCAGGTGGCTGAGGCTCAGCTCAGAGTCTCACCACGGCGCCCTGGGCCGCGTTTGCGGCAGACCTGGGAAGGGATGCAGCCCCTTTCTCCAACGGCCCTGTGAGAGTGAGGGTGTCACCTGCTCTCCCCCACCCCGGGGGGCCTGCAGCCAGAGGCGCCGGGGCCTGTGCAGTCGAGGGACCCCAGGGAGGCCACCGCGTCTGTCCCAGGACACACCAGGCAGGTCCCCGCCCGGGCCCACCTCCCACACTCGCCACCCAACCTCGCATCTGGGTGCTTCCCCTGGGACGTTCCAGGCCTCAGCTCCAGAATCCGTCCCCAAGGGGCGAGCAGGGGGCTCCGGAGGGGCCTAAACCACAGCGCAGTCGGGGTGCCGGCGGCAGTCAGAAGCCTGGCCCCCCAAGCACCGCGCCCCCCGCCCAGCGCACACGCTCTCTGCTAAAACCACCGGAGAGGCGTGTGCAGCTGAGCCTCCCGGTGACAGGGAGGGGCTGCCCGCAGAGCCCCGGCCACCCCCACGCCCGGAGAACGGCCCACACATTCCTGGGGACATTCTGAGTCACCGGCAGCTAGGGCGGGTTGTGCCATCCTGGCTCACCCACCCCCACGTTAACTTTATCTGCATTTAGCCAGGCCTGGCGGAGAAAGGAGTTTCTGGTAGACTTCGATCTATCTGCAGTGCAAGCGAAGTGCGCCCCAGCGGGTACGTAGCCCAGACACTGGGAACTTCTGCGAGTCCTCTCTTCTACCAGGCACTTACCGCGGGTGCGTGCCACGCTGCTGCATGGAGACCACGCCTGCCCTCCTCCTGCCCCGCCCCGTCCTTCCTGTCCCTTGTCCCCATCTGAGGCCCCAGGCTTGGGTCTTCTTGGCCCCGTCCTCTGGGCCTGGACCCTGGACCCAGCCAGGGGCACGCCCTGTCCCAGCGGAGGGCAAAGTCTGCTCTGCGGACAGAGGCGCTCCAACAGGAACCTGTCGGGCGAGCCACCGCCGGGCGTGACCCCCCTTCCCAGCAAGGTGGCCGCACCCACAGGCCTGGGCTGCCACCAGTCCAGGGACCAGGCCTGCAGGAAGGCAGGCACCATCCAGGGCTCTGCAGGGCCTCGGGACCAGAGCCAGCTCTCGGCTTCCGCCCGCACCAGCACCCATGTTGTCTTCCTCCTCACGTTCGGTTTACCAGAGGTCCCTGGACACGGGTCCCAAACTCAAGGAGCACCAAGAGCCTATCATGAAAGGTCCCCCACGGGCCGCCGCCCCAGCCTCCACAGCTTTCCCGACTTCTGCTCCTCGGAGAGCATCTAATGGCAGGCAGGCATCGGCCACGCTCTCCCGGCCGCGTGGACGGGATTCCAGCCCCGACGTCGTACCCGGGGGCTGTTTGCGTTAGCTCAGGGAGCTCGGCCAGCAGGGGCTGGACGCCAGCGCCTGGCCTCCCCTGTTAATAATTCCCTCTTGTTTACCCGCGGCTCTCCTCCTGCTCCTTCCCGCTCCCGCCTGCGGTCCGCGTCCCTGCCTTGTCCACCTGGACCATATGCTCCGGGTTTTCCCAGAGACCCTGTCCTCTCTCCCAGGCCCCCCTTCTCTGCCCCTACCCCCATCCCGGTCCTTTCCGGGAGTCCCCCATCTATCCCAGGCTACAAGAGGGAGATCTTTGTCCCTCGGGCTGGTAACTGGCTGAGATCAGAGCCCGTGGGAGATGATTTCTTCCAGAATGGAGGAGGCCTCTTCTCTGGTCTAGCGTTCCGCTGCGGCGAGACATCCTACGGGCTCCGACCTCGCCTCCCCAGACTGTGGCCTGAGGCTCTCCCCTGCCCTGCGGACGTGTGGCTCTCCCTTTCCGGGGGAGTTCTGGTGCTCCTGGGGACAGCTCCAAGTTCACTCTCTGAGCCACGGACTTGCGCCTGCTTCCAACCCCATCCTCGGGTCTGGAGGGTCTGGGCGTATGCCGGTGACATTCCATACTTTCTCCCACCTGTTTTCTCCAGCCCCTCTTTTAGGGGCAGCCTGGAGCGGGCACTCAAGCCCCTGGCGTCACCTCTGCACCCTGGCCTCTCCCGTCCTGCACTCTCATCCCTCTGCCCTCCCGTGGGAAGGTCTAGCCTTTCCACCAAACCGGCATTGTTTGCCCCGTCCTGCAAGCTGCGGTCGCCTGCTCTTCACTCAGAGCACCCTGATCCTGTTCTATGATGCTTATAGTTCCTTTCTGTCCCTGGCCTGTCCCTGCCTCATCCGTCTGGGCCTCTGCCGTCCCTTGAAGGCACCAGGCTGTCCTCAAATGCCTGGTGGTCCTGCTGGGCTGTCTGCTTGGACTATGCAGAGAAGATGGCCATGCGTCGGGAGGCCGGTGTGCGGGGCTGTGCGCACGCCCATGAGTTGCTGCCCCGCAGGCTCCTTGGGCCCCCAGCCTCCCAGTGTCTGCGCCCGGCGGCCTCTCCCTTGGCGGGCTGGCTCTTCCAGTGTCCTCGCTGGCTGCTGGCCTTCGCCGGGTGTCCGGGGGCCAGTGCAAAGGAGGGGCCGAGGGCACAGACTCTCCTCTCAGCTGCCCCTGGGCAAACGCCGGCCACGCTGTCTGGGCAACAGCCTGCGGACTCGGGTCATGGGTGGGGCTGCTCCCCAGCACAAGTGGCCCCACAGAGCTCCTCCAGAGATGCTCAGGGCAGCGAGGGCTGCGTGCTGTGCGTCTGTCTCCCCAGAGAGTCTGTGGGTCCTTCGGGAGCGGGGACAGTCGTCCTGTTCACATCTCCTGGCCCCAGAGTTGGGCTCGATCCCCACACTGACGCGTGAACGCTGGCTATCATGGTACTTGCCCTGCTCGGGTGCCCTCGCCCTCGTGCCTCATCCTCCCCCAGAGGCCCTGGGTTCCATGTGGGTACTTAGCTTCCAGCCAGCAGAAACCACCAGGGCTGCATCACCGGGGGCTTCCGGATCCGTTGGGGTGACTTCCTGCTGTTTCTGCTTGGGGGTCCTGGGGAGGCCGGTCCACTGTTGGGTCCTTGCAATCCATGGCTCTGAATCTCCCTCTACCACATGTGCAGGGCAGGAAAGGGGCACTTGCAATGGGGCACGGAAGAAAGACAGCCGGTCGAGTCAGGGAAGGACCAGGAGACCCAATGCAGCCGGGCCAGGCCGAAGCTGCACTTGGCGTCGTCCTGGCTGTGGTGCGGCCTGGCCCGGCCTGCTGGGGCCCCTCGCAGCCCAGTGCCCCCCGCTCCCTCGTTCTTCCCAACAGAAGAGCTTCCTGGGACTTGGGAGGCCTCTTGCAGATGGGATCAGCCCGGCCTGGACCTGTGGCTCTGCCCACAGCCGCTCCCAGAGCCAGCAGGACCCAAATCACTCCATCCGAGGGGTCTCTGTCCTTCTGCCCTGGCCTCTAGGTCCGGCTGACCCCACCCCGCCTGGTGGGGCTTGGCCTCTCCAGCACCGTCTGCCCGACCCTGGTCTTTGCTCAGGCTAACTCGAGCCACAATGATGGTCTTGTGCTCGGGTAATTCCGCCGGGCCAAGCTCAAACCTCAGAGTCACACGGGATTTGGGGGCAGGATTTGGCATTGTGACTCACAGTGCACAGCAGACGGTTCCATTTGCAAGGCGGCCAGGGGTGGCTCAGGGACTCTCAGCTGGGGCAGCTTTGTGCCCCCCGCCCAGGGACACTTGGTAATGTCCAGAGACATTCTTGGAGGCCGCAGCTGGAGCTGAGTTACTGGCCCTGTGTGTGTAGGTGGGGACCATGGGCGCCCCACAACAAGGAACTTGCTGGAGCAAATGTCTGGAGTGCCAAGATGGAGGGCCTGGCTTTGCTGACCAGAGGGCCCCCCGTTCACGGTGGGGGGCAGGGAGACCCATCTGGCCGCACCCAGCCTCGCCCCCAGCCTGGCAGCGGCGAGGGGCCGTGCTCTGCCTGTCCTGGGCAGCAGTCTCCTGCGGCCTCTTGTTCTGAGGCTTCCAGGTCCGGGGAACAGTCACAGAGAAGCCCATCCCCCCGGCTCAGCCTGCCGTGCTCCCCACCCCACCCCCAGGGCCCACCCATTGCTCGCCGGCTCCTGTCTCTCAGTCCAGAAATCCCATAAACCTGGCCCCCGTCCCAGACTTGGCTGACACGCAGGGTGTTTCCCCAAAGAAGCCCCAGATGGGAAATCAAGAGCCCCGACTCCGACAGGTAGCCCGGCCAGGTGGCCAGCAGGTGTCTTCCAAATGCTTTCTCCCCACTGTGTCTGTAGTTCCTCACCGACCTTCCTTCTGGAAGCTGCTATGTTCCCTGACAGGTGAGGAAACCAGGTGGGGTCAGGCTGTCAGCAGAGAGCCGGGCGAGCAGGGATTCTCGCTAGAAATAAAGACGCTCTTACACACGGGTGGCCGCCCGCGCATGGAACTGCCATGGGTGAAGAAGACAAGTAGCTGCCATCCGTCTGGAAACCGAAACTAAAATTCTGGGCCCCGGATGCAGGGTGAGCCGCTGTGCCCATCCCAGATCCCGCACACAGACGGCGGTCCTCGCGGGCGGCGCACCTGGGACCCCCAGCAAGCCGCCGGCCTGCCTGACTCAGTGCCTCAAGCGCAGGTGAAGAGCTGTCCACGCAGGGTCAGAGACAAGCCCTGGGAGCCAGAGCCCGCCCGGCATAGATGTCTCCCACACAGGAGTGGGGAGGGGGCCCTCTGCTCGGCTCGCTCCCTCTGACTCTGCAGGTGGCTCTCTCCAAGTGACTGAAGACCTCACTTCTTCCGGGAACCCCCAAGATCCTGCCTCCCGCCGCTCTCCCCCTCCAGGACTCCGGGGAGCCCCGGGCAGCGCCTTTCACCCGCCCGCCTGGGCAGAGGTTCTGTTCCTGTGGCCCGCGGCAGTGTCCGGGGAGCATCCAGAGCAGAGGCTCAGCTGCAGCTGACTCAGTACCCTCTGTGGGTACTCGGACTACTCCCCTTTTTACAGAGGACACTGGGGCCCAGAGGGCTTCTGTAACTTGCCTGAGTTCACAGGGACCCAGGATTTGAACCCGGGGGCCACACCCCTAAGCACTAGGTCACGGGGGTGTGGGGTCAGACTCTGCAGGTGCCCCCTGAGCCCCCACACTAGGAAGGGACGACTGGTCACCTCAAGGACAGAGGGAAGAAGAGTCAGGCTCTCCTGGGCTCCAGGTCGGATGCAGAGATGCCCCCATGCCCAGTGCTGGGCTGAGGTCCACCCAAATCTCAAAAGGGATTCTTGCTTCCCAGATGCAGTAACGGAGGCTGGTCAGCAGTAAGAGGAGCCCAAGGCCCTCAGGAGCTGCCCCCACACTCCTCCCTCCTTCCGCCCTTATTAGTTATGAGTGAGCAGGACACCCGGTGCCGCTGGGTCTGCCCCCCACATCCACCATAGTTGGGGAGGCGTTTGTTTCTGGTTTGTTGGAGGGAGGGTCTTCATTTGGGGGGCTGCTAACTCTTGAGGCCAAAGCGGATTTGGGCAGCAGATTCTCCAGAGTTTTGGGGGAGGGTGGTTTTGTTCCCCCTCCCGACCCCCATTTTCAAAGGTCCTGGGGCTCCCTAAGGGTCTCCCCGCCCTGATGTCTACACAGGAGAGCCTGCGACAGAAGCGTCCCCTCTAGGGTGCGGACGCGGGCCCCTGGCCCCAGGGAAGACAGGGGGCGGGCGGTGGATGCCCGAGGCCGTGGGTGGGGTCCGGGCCCCGGGTCCAGCCGCGCCGGTCCTGCGGGCTCCGTCCCCGGGGCAGCGCGGGCGAATGGACGGAGCCGCGAAGTTTCGCCGACCCGCGCAGCGCTGGGGGAGCGGGGGGGAGCGCAGGGGAGGAAAGGCGCCCCAGCGTCACCGGGCCCTCCGCAGCCCCCAGCTCGCTCACCTGTCCCCAGGCTCACCTGTGCCGCGAGGCGGAGGACGTGGCGGCGAGCGGGCGGCGACTCCGGCCGGCCTAGCCTGCAGGCTCCGCGCCGCGGCC